GTACAACATGCATAAACAGGAACAAAGGAAGCGACCTCGTGCCATGTTTTTTGTGCAGGCTCCAAGGAGATTGACGACATTCATGTGATTGCCAAGGTGACTCATAATCTTTAGCTCCATCATCAGTGCCAGGTAATTCTCCAAGTTGTTGCAGCCAGGCTTCCTTTTCTTGACAGCTACGGTTGTTTCACGCTCCGGGGGGCGAATCCCAATTGCCACAGCCCGAACAACATGACCGAATTCCCCTCGACCAATCTCTTTATCTATGGAGGTTAGAAATATAATCAAATTCGTTCTTCAGAAACCTAAAATAGAAATATAATGAAGTTTAACCTAATTTTAGTCTGTCTGTTGAGAATTCCCAATGGTCTTCATACGGTAATAGTTGTACTTCTTGGCTGAATTCATATATGGGATTTATGCTCGCAGACTTCCCTCTACGAAAGCTCTCCAATTGTTCTTTTGTTAACATGATGCGTTGGGACTGAAAAGGTAATAGAAATAGGCAGTTCAAGGAAGTTCCGTAAATAAAAATTGTGGAAGGCGTTCCAATTCATGTGCATTACTTACTCGTACTCTCTTGATCCAGTTGTAGTATATGGTGATGCCACTGGCAACCGCAATTAAACAAATTCCAACTGAAGTTAGTGTGATGCCAGCTATTCCAACAGGACCTGTTTAATGACAACAGGAGCGATAAAATACATTTTCCGGGCGTATATACATACTGCTTCAGAAAAAAGTAAGTGAAATTGAGATTCTTAGTCTAAGGACCTGCAGATTTCATTAAAGCAAAAGGAACGAAAACTATGCAGGAACGATAATGATTGTGAACTCGAAGAACAATAAATTCTCCAGATTGGAAACCTTGACATGATTGGGTGAGTCATTCATTGCATGGGCGCATAAGTCTAGGCTCCCGAAACGTAGATTTTAATGCTTCTCCATGATTGAATAGATTAATCTCAATTGTTCACGTGTAAAACCGACATCTTCAGGCTTCAATTTTTGCTGATGAATGCGAAATTCTTGGAGGAAAACCAATGTTGACGGGAAAAGCCAAGAGAAAAAAGAACAAGCATCCATGTGCGTTGAATTCAGGAGGAGAATATTGCAAAGAGGAAAATTCAAGGTGCGTGACACGATTTGGCACTATATTACAGGAGTACTGCATACGCCCCGATGAAACCTAAAGTTGTCATCACTTGAAAATATTCGCTTCTGTGGGTTTTCAAATATGCAAAATAATGAAAATCGTGTTGATATCGGTGTCTTCATTTAATAGCAAAAAAGAATAAAATACAGGGGAATAAATAAATATGAAAGGGCTTAACCAAAATGATGACAACATGTTTTCCCTTGTTGTTTTGAAGAAAAAACCATATTCTGTGATGTGCACAAAAGCAGACACATGTACGAAAAATGTCCACATTGAATCCAATTAACTATCCATGTAATTGTTTATCGACATCATTTACTGGGTCGTCCTCCACCTCAACTTGAACCACTTCTTTTGTGATTCTAATAATTTCATGTATTCTTTATATCTATGGTGGCGCCTTCGGCGCTCCATTACCTTGGATAGTGATTAATTCATTTATTCTTTGCGAAATGGCAAAAACATATATTAAGTACGTCCCCATTGAAATACAGGGTGTTTCACTCGCTATTGGCCCTAAATTTTTCCTTATACCTTTCAAACTAATTGATGTAATGTAGTGAAATGTGACACAGACAAGCCTGCGCGAAGTGAAGGCCTGTTTCCTGTTTGCCGCTTTAGTCAGTACGGATGGTGCGACGATTCTGACAGTGGTGTTGTGTACTGTATCGTCCACATTCATCGTGCCTTGACATATGGCGACGAAAGTCCTTATTTTGATGAAAATCATTATCTCAATGATTTCAAGTGTGCTTAACTTGAAATAATTTCATGTGTCCCTTTTTGTAAGGGTGGAGAATACGTTTTGAAATACTTCCCTCCTATAATCTACGCTAAGGGGACATATATGAAAATCATTACCTCAATGATTTCAAGTGTGCTTAACTTGAAATAATTTCATGTGTCCCTTTTTGTAAGGGTGGAGAATACGTTTTGAAATACTTCCCTCCTATAATCTACGCTAAGGGGACATATTTCAAAAGTAGAATTTTTCCTGTAATCAGAACAGGTACTTCTGGGGGAAGTTTATATTTTCTTTCTCTGTTTCGTTGCATCAAAAAATAAGGAAAATGGGACTGAAAAAAGTGCCCTGATGTGTTTTAACGAAAAACTTTATTTCTTGTGAAATGTAGACTCAAAGGACTGCATGCCACCCAGTTTCAGTCTGATACGTTTCCCTTATTGCTAGAGGTAAAAAATGTATTAGGAAAAGCGACCCACCCAAAAGCTGTGCTCTGAGGAGACGCACAACAAAAGTTGAATTTTTCCTTATATCAACATCACCTCCGTTGTGCTTCCGCCACCTGCAACTTTTATGTTTCTATCCGATTCGCTAGGATATGAAAAATAGAACTGGAATCGAATCAATTCATCGGAATCGAAACCAAGCCTCCCGATTACCGGTCAGATGTGCTACCTCTACACTACCGAAACGGGACAAACAGTAACATCTCTCGATGACATCCTCATCCGTCACAATATATATTAAAAAAAAACTTCTTCCCCCAAAATGTGTATCCCCAGGGGATATACCTCCAAAGTCGGATTTTTTCTGAACTCTGCACCCAAAAAGGTACATGCGTACCAAAGTTTCAGATTTCTAACCTTTCTAGAACATGGTTAGAATTAGCGTCAGTCATGTGTGCTTGCATGCACTAGTGTCGTCTAATATAGGGAAGTGGCCATATTTTGCATATTCCGCTCATACGGCGCACCATATTATTATTGAAGCAAACAAATGTAAAAAGAGAATAGTAGGTCTTTCTGAAATATCAACCCTAGTCTGCCCGCTCGACCGCCTGCCCCTCTTGATGTTTTCTGGGGGACACCTCTCCCTCTGCATAGTTTTTTAAATGGTAATTCACCATGAATGCCAGAGAAAACGCGATAAATATTTCAAAATGTCACCTTTTAGTACTTAATGAATATATGAGACCGTTGAACAAAGGCATACTCCAGAAGACACATCATGAGAAAAAGGATTTGAGCTCATCTCATCTTTCCTCTTTAATTGCGCTAAAGACGGCCTGTGAGAATAAAGATTGGCTCTTCATATCCTTAAAAATTGCTCTGCATTTGCAGGCATAACACATTCAGACAACGTATTGCTTAGGTTGGAAAATGGGTTTGACAATTTTTGAAAGAAATAAACTTATTATGTGAGCATGTTATATAAAAGAAACTCACTTTCCACAATGAGCTTTAAGGCGATCGTCTGAGTCTGCAGACCAAGTTGTATAATCACTTTGTAGATACCATCGTCTTCATCCGTGATGTTATGAATACTAACAATGATTGTTTTTTGTTCCAAGTTTCTCTCAATGCAATATTTAGAGTTGTTGGGAACTTCCAATCCATTGTGCTTCAAGATGATATTCGGGTTAGGGTCGGCTTCCACCTTCAACACCCAGCTCACGGTTCTCTTTCCCTTATGCGCATGTGCTGTCGTCTCCACTGGCGTAATCTCCACATGACCATCTGGAACCGAATACTGAATGGTACCTAGACCATAAATTCAAGTGTACCTGCATCAAGAAAGTTCTCACTTCGAACGATCACTCTATGATAGGATTCCTTAGTGACGTTGGAGATTGTTGCACGGCAGTAATATTTTCCTTCATCCATTGAAGTGGCATTCCGTATTTCCAGGCCAATAATGTGCTGCCCATTGCTTGCTTTTTTTGGTGGGATTCGCCCCTTCTGCATCAGAAGAGAGTCAAAGGGTATTTTTTTGTTCAATGTTGAGAATGGAANTTCTGTGGGTTTTCAAATATGCAAAATAATGAAAATCGTGTTGATATCGGTGTCTTCATTTAATAGCAAAAAAAATAAAATACAGGGGAATAAATAAATATGAAAGGGCTTAACCAAAATGATGACATGTTTTCCCTTGTTGTTTTGAAGAAAAAACCATATTCTGTGATGTGCACAAAAGCAGACACATGTACGAAAAATGTCCACATTGAATCCAATTAACTATTCATGTAATTGTTTATCGACATCATTTACTGGGTCGTCCTCCACCTCAACTTGAACCACTTCTTTTGTGATTCTAATATTTTCATGTATTCTTTATATCTATGGTGGCGCCTTCGGCGCTCCATTACCTTGGATAGTGATTAATTCATTTATTCTTTGCGAAATGGCAAAAACATATATAAAGTACGTCCCCATTGAAATACAGGGTGTTTCACTCGCTATTGGCCCCACATTTTTCCTTATACCTTTCAAACTAATTAACGTAATGTAGTGAAATGTGACACAGACATGCCTGCGCGAAGTGAAGGCCTGTTTCCTGTTTGCCGCTTTAGTCAGTACGGATGGTGCGACGATTCTGACAGTGGTGTTGTGTACTGTATCGTCCACATTCATCGTGCCTTGACATATGGCGACGAAAGTCCTTATTTTGATGAAAATCATTATCTCAATGATTTCAAGTGTGCTTAACTTGAAATAATTTCATGTGTCCCTTTTTGTAAGGGTGGAGAATACGTTTTGAAATACTTCCCTCCTATAATCTACGCTAAGGGGACATACTTCAAAAGTAGAATTTTTCCTGTAATCAGAACAGGTACTTCTGAGGGAAGTTTCCATTTTCTTTCTCTGTTTCGTTGCATCAAAAAATAAGGAAAATGGGACTGAAAAAAGTGCCCTGATGTGTTTTAACGAAAAACTTTATTTCTTGTGAAATGTAGACTCAGAGGACTGCATGCCACCCAGTTTCAGTCCGATACGTTTCCCTTATTGCTAGAGGTAAAAAATGTATTAGGAAAAGCGACCCACCCAAAAGCTGTGCTCTGAGGAGACGCACAACAAAAGTTGAATTTTTCCTTAAATCAACATCACCTCCATTATGCTTCCGCCAGCTGCAACTTTTATATTTCTATCCGATTCGCTAGGATATGAAAAATAGAACTGGAATCGAATCAATTCATCGGAATTGAACCCAGGCCTCCCGGTTACCGGTCAGATGTGCTACCTCTACACCACCGAAACGGGACAAACAGTAACATCTCTCGATGACATCCTCATCCGTCACAATATATATTTTAAAAAAACTTCTTCCCCCAAAATGTGTATCCCCAGGGGATGTACCTCCAAAGTCGGATTTTTTCTGAACTCTGCACCCAAAAAGGTACATGCGTACCAAAGTTTCAGATTTCTAACCTTTCTAGAACATGGTTAGAATTAGCATCAGTCATGTGGGCTTGCATGCACTAGTGTCGTGTAATATAGGGAAGTGGCGATATTTTGCATATTCCGCTCATACGGCGCACCATATTATTATTGAAGCAAACAAATGTAAAAAGAGAATAGTAGGTCTTTCTGAATATCAACCCTAGTCTGCCCGCTCGACCGCCTGCCCCTCTTGATGTTTTCTGGGGGACACCTCTCCCTCTGCAATGTTTTTTAAATGGTAATTCACCATGAATGGCAGAGAAAACGCAATAAATATTTCAAAATGTCACCTTTTAGTACTTAATGAATATATGAGACCATTGAACAAAGGCATACTCCAGAAGACACATCTTGAGAAAAAGGATTTGAGCTCATCTCATCTTTCCTCTTTAATTGCGCTAAAGACGGCCTGTGAGAATAAAGATTGACTCTTCATATCCTTAAAAATCGCTCTGCATTTGCAGGCATAACACATTCAGACAACGTATTGCTTAGGTTGGAAAATGGGTTTGACAATTTTTGAAAGAAATAAACTTATTATGTGAGCATGTTATATAAAAGAAACTCACTTTCCACAATGAGCTTTAAGGAGATCGTCTGAGTCTGCAGACCAAGTTGTATAATGACTTCGTAGATACCATCGTCTTCATCCGTGATGTTATGAATACTAACAGTGATTGTTTTTTGTTCCAAGTTTCTCTGAATGCAATATTTAGAGTTGTTGGGAACTTCCAATCCATTGTGCTTCAAGATGATATTCGGGTTAGGTTCGGCTTCCACCTTCAACACCCAGCTCACGGTTCTCTTTCCCTTATGCGCATGTGCTGTCGTCTCCACTGGCGAAATCTCCACATGACCATCTGGAACCGAATACTGAATGGTACCTAGGTCATAAATTCAAGTGTACCTGCATCAAGAAAGTTCTCACTTCGAACGATCACTCTATGATAGGATTCCTTAGTGACGTTGGAGATTGTTGCACGGCAGTAATATTTTCCTTCATCCATGGAAGTGGCATTCCGTATTTCCAGGCCAATAATGTGCTGCCCATTGCTTGCTTTTTTTGGTGGGATTCGCCCCTTCTGCATCAGAAGAGAGTCAAAGGGTATTTTTTTGTTCAATGTTGGGAATGGAANTTGAAGTGGCATTCCGTATTTCCAGGCCAATAATGTGCTGCCCATTGCTTGCTTTTTTTGGTGGGATTCGCCCCTTCTGCATCAGAAGAGAGTCAAAGGGTATTTTTTTGTTCAATGTTGAGAATGGAACAGAATTTAAAGATCTCACATTATCTGAGTTTGGATAGAGCCATTCCATCACGTCCAAAGACAGAGGTCCGCGTCGATATAACGTGGTTTCGAAGTCGCATCTAGGGTCACAATGAAGACTTAGGGGCCAATACCATCCATGAAGGTTAAGTAGGCGATCTCGACCTACAATCGTAATGAGAAGACAGGATATCAACACCCTACCGCTTTTTTTATCAACAGTTATGAACGTGAAATGACAATTTGCATATCAATAGTACATGAAACTAGGAAGCAACTATAGCTCGAAATATCGTCATCTGTACAATTAATTAATTACCATAAACTGCTACACAAAAACGTCTGTACCACCACTAATTCTGAAAATTTCAGGAACAGATTTCACTTGTCTGTATACGGCAAATACTGCAGCGCTGACTTGCAAGGTAGGCCAAAAAATTAAATATGGCGATATAAACGCTTTTGGGGTGCCTTGACGATAGAAGGAGTGCTGGCCCTAGGCGTACCTATGTCATGCAAAGAGGAAAAACGACCTCTTTTTTTACATAAACCTTTTCGCTGGGTTGGTTTTCGACACGAGACTCCTGACGTATAAAAAAGTTTTTTTTATACGTCCTTAAATCAACATCACGTCACGTCACGCCAGCTACTTTACTATGTCTGCCCGGTGAACTACATGCCCACAAAATTTCAATATTATATGTTTGCTCTTTTCGTTGGTGAAAAAACATGCTTGGAAAAGCCGACCCAGCCAAAAGCTATGGCCGGAGGGGATGACCAATGAAAGCTGAATACCCCCTCAGCTCAGTAATATGTCACTCATTTGTGTGCCAAGTTTCACCTTTCCATTTCTGTCGAATTCGCCACAACAATTTGTATTTCAAACCATTGCACCTCGAAAAAATTCCCTTAGGGGATGTATCGAAACTAAACATTTTTATTTTAACTCATTGTTTCAGTAATCACATTCATGCAAAGTTTCAGCTTTCTATGTTCATCAGTTTAATTGATACGAAAAATTAGTTGAAAACGTCTCCCTTTGAAATTTGTGCACCCAGGGCATTTACTCCTGAAGTCTGATGTATTCTGAAGCATCTCAATAGGTAGTTATGTACCAAGTTTCATCTTTCCACACTAGCTCAATACGCCAGGACAAAAAATACTTAAAAACGTTGGCTCACAAAAATATGGCCCCAGGGCCATATTTTTGTTCTCGGTAGGCACATCCATGCCAAGTTTCAGCTTAATATGTCTCTGCGTTTACTCAAGCCAAATTATGTTATGGTGGGGGATTTAGTAACAGGACATGGAAGGCAAAAAAAAGCCAATAGAAAGCAAAAGAATGGCCAGGAATTGAACACGGACCCTCTGATTGTCACTCAGAAATGCTATGACTACACCACCGAATTCAGCACATCTTGTTCGTTCTCTGAATGCCATCCTCATCTGTCACAAAATATATTTCACAAAAATGTTTCCCCCCAAAAATGTGTACCCCCAAATGTACCACCAAAGTGGGATTTTTCTGAACTCTGCATCCCAAAACGTACATGTGTACGTTTCCAAGTTCCAGATTTCTAACCCTTCTAGGACATGGTTAGAATTAGCGTTAGTCAGTCACGATCATCTATATATATTAGAGATTGCAAATCATGTGACAACTCGAAGCCTCATCAGTTCTGAGCTGTTTCCTGCTAGTCTCAGAGAAATATTTGTACAAAATAATATTGTCTTTCATGCTCAATTATTTTAATCTGGCTCTTTTGAGCTGAAAACTTTACTTAAACTTGAGCACTCGCTTTGCAATAATTTATTTATCATAGGAAAATATCGATTAGTGGAGCGATTGCCACCCTAACCAGCTGCAGTTTTTACATCTGACTCTTTGCATATCATGAATTCCTCGGTCGGCACCTTTTCCTATATATACCGTGTATGCGGGAGTCAAAGAGGTGTGTATTCATATATATTCAATGTATTTTGTCGACACAGGCAATTAATGGGTTTACCTCTCAGAACATAGCATCTTTACTCACCCCTTAGTGAATAAATTTGGGAAATTTGGAAGTGGATCTTAGAAAACCTTATAGTTTTAGTTAGAAAATTTTTTTTAAGTTTAACGCCATGGTTTATCAGTGACGGAAGCACAGGGACACTCACAACTGGGTAGAATATTAAAAAAGAAGTACAGGGTGTTTCACTCGCTATTGGCCCCAAATTTTTCCTGATAACTTTCAAACTAATTGACGTAATGTAGGGAAATGTGACACAGACATACCTTGATGCATGGGAAGCATGATGACATCATACAGTAGAAAGTGTTGAAAGTGTACGCCATTAGCATCCAGGCATGCTTGAACGCGCCGCTCCATGTTACGGAAGATTTTCACCAACATATTGGGAGTCACAGCCTCAATTTCCCGCCGAATGTTTTCTTGCAGTGCCATGACAGTCCGTGGCTTGTTGCGGTACACTTTCCCTTTCAGCATGTCCCATAGGAAGAAATCTGGTGGTGTAAGGTCAGGCAACCTTGGTGGCCAAAGTCCCTTGGGAATGACACGATCATCAAAGAATGAAGCAATTTCAGCCATGCTGACATTGGAGGTGTGGCAGGTTGCACCGTCCTGCTGAAAGAAGCCAGTACTGATTTCCTCGTCGTCCAACTGATTCACAAACTCATGGAAGATGTCCATGTAGACTGCGGTATCCACCATTGTGTGGAAGAAGATGGGGTCTATAATGCGGCGCCGCAACAAGGCACACCACACCCCAAGTTTTTCAGCATTAAGAGGTTCCTCATACACCTCGTGAGGATTCTCACTCACCCAAATACGGGTATTATGGAAATTAACGTGACCACTTAGGTGGAACCACGTATAGTTCAGTATGCTGGGATTGTCATTGGCAAATTGCTGGAACCAACGACAGTACGCGACTCTATTCTGCTGGTCGGGAGCTTTCAATTCTTGAACAACAGTAACATGGTATGCATGCAGGTCAGCTTTTTTTGCAACTCTTTGACATGTGCTTGTGGAAACCCCCATCTCCTGCGACAGTTTACGCAAGGACTTCTGCGGGGAGGCCAGCAGTCTGTTTTTCACATCCTGCACCGTTGCTTCTGGCATTTTCGGACGGCCTCTTTCGTGGACATCCAACAATGTTCCAGTGGTTTCCAGTTTCTTCACCAGATACTGAATGGCGAATTTTGCCGGTGGTTTTCGACCCCCAAACTGCTCAATAAATTGTCTTTGGCACGCCTTTATCGATGCAGTTTTCCAGTATGTGCGGACAATAAACACGCGCTGTTCAACTGTGTACCGGTTCATACTGTACAGGATTTCACGTAACACACAGGCACGATGAATGTGGACGATACAGTACACAACACCACTGTCAGAATCGTCGCACCATCCGTACTGACTACAGCGGTGTACAGGATTTCACGTAACACACAGGCACGATGAATGTGGACGATACAGTACACAACACCACTGTCAGAATCGTCGCACCATCCATACTGACTACAGCGGCAAACAGGAAACAGGCCTTCACTTCACACAGGCATGTCTGTGTCACATTTCACTACATTACGTCAATTAGTTTGAAAGTTATAAGGAAAAATTTGGGGCCAATAGCGAGTGAAACACCCTGTATTTGAGTAATTTTTAACCTGCTTTTTTTTCAATAATTAAAGTTTTAGTGAACCATCTGAAAAATGCATGGAACATGTTGAAAAGTCTGCCTTCGACCCTCTATGTGAGCTTTTCTTATTCATTCATTCAGTTAGCATCTTTATTAATTTGGTAGTGTATGTCTTATTTTTAATCTTTTAATGTGAAATGGAAGAGTAAACTTGTACAAGCAGGAATCATGGACAGACTAAATGGAGGGGAAGAAATTATATTTACATTTTGAAAACTAATGATGATCAGGATCCAATTCAAATCCAGATTCTCAGGAAGCAAAACTATTTCTGGAATCCAAGCTCAACTTACATTTCCAGATTTGGATCAGATTCAACTCACCTCTAATGCACAGGATGGGACAAAGAAGACGCTGCAGAAAGCGCAGATCACTCTAAATGACTGCCTAGCATGCAGTGGGTGTATTACATCTGCTGAGCACATCCTCATCACCCAGCAAAGCCAAGATGAACTTTACCGTGTGATTCAGGAGAATTCCCACAAGGATCCTGTGAGTCTTCCTTCTCATTACCTGTTATTTAATATTGGACCCCATTCAAGTCTGAGTATGGCTGTGAAAGCTTTGTCTTTGCACAGGATGAACAGCTGGAGATTGTTGTGTCAGTGGCACCCCAGCCCATTCTATCTTTTGCAGCCCAGTGTGGAATCTCATATGAAGAAGCTGCCACTCGTCTGGCTGGTCAGTTTTTCTATTTAAAAATTATGGGAAAATTATTTGCAAAATTCAGTGCATAGGCAAGGTAACATTTTACTCAAAGAAAATATTTAAAAGGTGGGTTAAAGATATACAGGGTGGGTAAAGAAATACATTCTACATTGAATGAAAACATAATCTCACTATCTCTAAACTTTTTGTGTTAATGTCTTTTGTCAAATATCCATGTCAGTCCTCCACATGTCCACCATCTCAATGACACAATACCCAGTGGTACAAGAGTGCTGCCCATTTGTTCACTAACATTTCCTGCATGAGGCTGGTGAATGCTTTCTGTATGTGGTTTCTTAGATCTGTCACATCCCAGTCTCTCGGCATGCACTTTTTCTTTGATTAGGTCCCCTTGTCCACACCACTTGTGGTGGTGTGGACTAGGAGACTAATTCTCTGACCCATTTGCCTGGCCAGTAAGCTCTCCTGATCTCACACCCATGGACTTCTTCATCTTGGGCTGTATCAAAGAAAAGGTATATGCTAAGAGATCGTGTGATGAGACAGATCTAAGAAACCCCATAGAGGAAGCATTCACCAGCCTCATGCAGGAAATGTTAACGAACATGTTATCACCACTCTTGTACCACTGGGCATAGTGTTGTCAGCAAGACAGTGGATGACTGACATGGATATTTGACAAAAGGTACAATAAATTTATAGGTAGTGAAGCATGTGTAGGAGTTTCATGGTAATGAAGTACTTGCTACTGAATTATGACTGACATTATTTTTGAGTCACACCTTTATGGACATGCTTTTTATCCATTTTCTTCCGATAAATTGTTGATAGTTTTTTGAATGGAAGGAATTTACTATTTAATATTTTTTTTTTAAATCAAGCGATTGAGTGGTTCACTGTCCATTTTTTCCATAAATGGCTACTTCTGCTTCACTACAAAATGGATTTGGTTGGTGCCCTCCACTTTTCATCCTCCAGCCTCCTCATTAGCAGAGCTGACTAGATCCAACAACCCCAGGATTGATGGAATTTGTTATAGTATATCCAAAAAAAATTGTGAATTTTCTTTTGGAATTTTTTAAATTCTCAAATCATTTGTTGAATTGCTATTCAGCATATCCACTGTTTAATCATGTTTCTTTCCTTCCACTCACTCTTCTTTATTCCAAGTAATTTAATCTAACTTGGTGAATAAATTAATTTTGAACAGACAGGACAGTTTAACCCCCTAGGCATCATTGCATATTCAATTTAGCCCAAGCTGTATACTATTCATATTATATGTTTCATCTGAAGAAGTATATCTCTTTAATTCCAGGTTTCTTCAAGGGAATCGGCATTTCTCGCGTGTTTGATATCTCCCATGCCCGTGACCTATCCCTAGAGGAAACTAGTCAGGAATTTCAGGCCCGGTATCGTTCTTCTCAGTCTGGTGAAACTGGGTTCCTCCCTCTGCTCACCTCAGCATGTCCAGGTTGACTCAGCAATCCTGTAACCATCACCATCAGCAGTCAGTCCAGTGATAAATTCATTTGAGTTTTTCATCCAGGTTGGGTGTGCTATGCAGAAAAGACACATGGGCACTTCATCCTACCTTACATTAGCACAACCAAGTCCCCCCAGCAGATCATGGGCTCCCTGCTGAAGCAGACAAAGCCTAGAAATAAGTCACTTTATCATGTGACACTTATGCCATGTTTTGACAAGAAGCTGGAGGCATCTCGTGAGGACTTTGTTGACCAAGTTTCAAAGACTAGGGATGTTGACTGTGTCATCACCACTAGTGAGTTTTGTAGAGAAAAATAAGCTGCATTCATAATCTTCTTGTCTGATGAACTTATATGTGATAATCATGGATTCATTTATTTTCCCTCTCTTCTCTCACTGCCATTGATCTTTGATCTGCATTCTACATTAAAATCAGCATTTTGTAAAGAGCTACCTTGACAGGTTTCATAGGAGACAGGAAGATCACATTAGTTGAGCTGATTCCAAAATGTTTATGCTTACAGTTGAGGTGGAGTCAATGCTGGTAAAGGAGGGCCTTACCTTAAAAGAAGTGGAACCTGCTCAGCTGGACTGTCCATTGACATGGAGACCCCTGAAGAATCCCTCAATTTTGACTGTGAATCGGGGCTCTGCATCAGGAGGATACCTTGAACACACTTTTGTTCATGCTGCTAAGGAACTCTTTGGAGAGAATGTTCTTCAACTGGACTATAAAGTGATGAGGTTTGAAATCGTATGATTTGTACTAGATCAAGAGTGCCCAAAGTGCAGCCCATGAGACAATTTTGAAAAAAGAAAAAAAATTGAAATGGGAAAAAAGACTGCCACACACAGGGAGGGTTGAGTGCTTGTAGCATGACATAAGCACACATATTATCTCAAAAAAGTCACCAGTTTATTTATTTTAAATATCTCCACATTGTATCATGCTAGACCACAGCTTTCCTACGAATTACATTCAAGATTCAAGATAGTTAGTGATATAAAGAGGTGATTTCTCCCATTTCAATATCATGTGTTGAGGTCGAGCATTCCTTAATTTTATTGTAGGCTTAACCCTCTTAAAGCTAAATATTTTTGTATTTTTGTTTTGTTTTTTTTTTTTTTTTTTTGTCAGTGAGGTAATTTGTCAGGGTTCAAAAGACAAATATTCCACACCTGGGATTATTTGTCTTTGAATATTCTGTCACCCATCCTATGAGCCCATTCATTCACTCCTCAGTGCCTTTTTTTAGGGTAAAAGACCCAGTGATGGGCCTGTTAATGGCGGGTACTCAGTGATGGGCCGCTTCGCAGGAAAATTCCAAAATTTTGGCATTTGTTCCATTACCACCTCTGAAGTGTCTATGTGCTTGAATGCTGCTAACCTATGTCATAATATGCGTAGGCATGCTATGTGTACTCAGTGATGGGCCGCTTCGCAGGAAAATTCCAAAATTTTGGCATTTGTTCCATTACCACCTCTGAAGTGTCTATGTGCTTGAATGCTGCTAACCTATGTCATAATATGCGTAGGCATGCTATGGAAGCTTAGCTATTGGAATTTTTATTTGCTGTGGCCCATCACTGGGTCTTTTACCCTACTTCATCAAAATTAGCATGCTCTAACATGGCTGTGTGTAGACAGCAGACTGTCTCAGAGATGAAATTTTTTAAATTATGAATTCCTCACTTGTGCAAACACAATTGGTTTCCATTTTCAAAATCAAAGGGTGCAAAGTAAATTCTTTTTAAATATCTCCTACTAGCACCAAGCAAACCCTGTCTTTTATTGCATATGGTCTCTCAGATGAATGGAGAGTAATTTTAGGCCTAAAGAAAGCTGAAAATAGTTGAATAATTTGAAATGCAAGTAGAACCATTATGATAGAAGAAAAGTGACTAGAAAAAAACTTATTTGTTCACTGAGACTGTCTGATCACCTGCATTCTGACATTCTCCAGAGAGGGCCAATGTGTGCTAATTGCTTCTTCACTGGCAATTTTTGGTACTTGATAAAATCAGGGAATTATTTGAATCTTATCAGAATTCTTTTCTATTTTTTTTCGAGATGTCACATGCAGAAGAACATTAGACTTGCATGATAATGAATAGAGGTATATGTTTGAAAAACTAAACTGACATTTTTTGATGGTGTAGACAATTAAGACTTTTTCCTGAAGGCCTTCAGTACTTTGCTATTATGCAGCTACAGCACTCAAATTTGTGGCCCATGGGTCTGCTGCCCACAGACTGTATGGCCCCAATTGCCAAAAACTTTGGGCACCCCTGTAGTAGATGATATGTTTGATATCATGATATAGAACTTCTTGGGAAACTATGACATTGACTATTATTGCAGGCATATGTCTGTAGCCTCTAAATCTCTCATTCAAAGAACAGCTGAGTCCACTACAAGAAATCAAAAGAACTTAGGGAAGCTGTTAATCTTTCTGCATGCCAAGTCAGTAAGGCATGAGTTCATGATGTTGGCAGAGGTTGAGTAAGATAAATATATTCTGGACCATTCTTAATACAATAAAACCTGTCATATGTAAATCATAGATGGTAAAATCATTGTAATACTCACATTAAAAAAAAGTTTTGCACCACCCCCAGATCTCTAAAGGGTTCTTGCTGTGATATTTTTGGTTATAACTTTGCTGTATTTCATCCAAATTCCATCAAAATGTTATCAAACATAACAAACACATATGGTAACAATATACTCTAAGGATTTTTCAAAATGTCCACAGTCAGCTTTTCGACCATAATGTTGTCCCAAGTCTTAAGAAAACCCTTCTTCAGCAAATCCACCCTGCTGAAATGGTCTTGTGCCTGGGGGTCCAGAACTGCTCTCAGGAGCTACAACTGTGAGCAGGTCTCATTTCCCGCAGTCAGTGATGGTGTGGGCTGGAATTTGTGCCACAGGCAAGACTCCACTGGTTTTATTTGGAAAAAGTGGTGAAGATCAATTCAGCTGTGTATCAAGACTGCATCCTGAGAGCAGTTCTGGACCCCCATGCACATTAAACGTTTAGGCGAAAATGAATGGATGCTGCAACAAAATTGGCACACGGAGTGAAGACAACAATGGAGCTCTGCAAGGAGCTGTTTCCGAATCCATGGGGGAAGGATGTCTGGTGCTCAAACTCACCAGATCTCAAACCTATGGATTACACCGTGTGGTCCATTTTGAAGAAGGCCTGCTCACATTGCACAGCATATTGTTGCTATATGTGTTTTTTATGTTCGATAAAATTTTGATGGGATTTGGATGAAATACAGCAAAGTTATAACCAAAAATATCACAGCAAGAACCCTTTAGAGATCTGGGGGTGGTGCAAAACTTTTTTTGATGTGTGTATGCATAAGAAAAATCTGTTTTAGCTATGGGAAAATGATTGAAATTATGAGAGTATTGGGTTTGTTTGAACCTTCTTATGATTTGAGGTCATCCATGGTCATTCCTATGTTTTTATTAGACATATCAGGGATTGAAACTGATTAATATTGACAATGTGGACCATAAATCTGCCCATGTCCAAGTAATAGCACAGAAGGATGTATATAGTGGAGGCTCTTTAATGCTCATTACTTCTTAAAGAATTGAATCAAGTTACATGCAGAAAAAGACCCTAAAAACTATTAGTGTCAATTCTAAACAATTATGGATTATGTAGACTCAAGTCCAAGAAAGTCCATTGGGTCTCCATTCATATCACTAACCTGAAAATAAAAGTAGCTTGTGTGTATTCTTGGAAATTCTGTAGAGTAAGTGGTAGAGGCAATAAATAGATTTAGACTGCCCTACTTACAATGCAGCTTGAAAAAAGCATTTTGATGAAAATCTATTATATATTATTATATATTGTTATTATTATATATATATATGAAAGAAGGAAACCCGCATTGGCCATTGGATGATAGCAGGGACGAATAAATGCACCTCGCAGCCAACCAAATTGAAGAGAAACCAAAAATTCCCCCCAAACTTTTGGTTTCTCTTCAATTTGGTTGGCTGCGAGGTGCATTTTTTCGTCCCTGCTACATATATATATATATATTGTATATACTTATTTTGTATTTAAGAAGCTATGCTGCAATGAGTACTAGTGTTTATTGCTACAGTTACCTATCAATGAAAAGGTTCTAGTTTCATGTATAAGCCTGCTTTTTTGCTCAGCTATGGTTAGAGCTTTTAGAAGCTCCTAATGGCCTGTGAGTGTTGATGCACAGAAGGGGCTGAGGGTACATACTGAAGTAGAGACTTCTTGCTCTGTCCATTCTCTCATAGGAACCAGGATCTGCAGGAGGTGACCCTTGTGCATAATGGAGAGATAAAACTACATTTTGCTCTCTCTTATGGCTTCCGCAATATCCAGAACCTTGTCCAGAAAATGAAGAGGAAGAAGTGCCCTTATCACTTCGTTGAGGTCATGGCATGCCCCAGTGGTGAGTCTCTACCATTCTTGTTACTTCAACTTAACAGAGTGTTTGCTCTATCCCCTTTGACATTTTTTACTTGTGGTGGTAGAGCATTAATGTTAGTGTTAAAGGACACGAAGGTAAAGAGGTTGAAATTTAGGAAGATGACAGCGAAGATAGGCCTGTGAAAATGTGTTAGGGCTTAATTTTGAATGAAGAAGGAGAATTAGATGCATCAAAATCATTCTCACGGAAAAAAGTAATTAAATAAAAAGTGCAATTTTTGTTCATAATCTAGCTGAAATCTTAGGATTTTAACATCCCCACAAGTAAAAGTACTGGGCAATTGTGGTACTCCTTTACTTGATTGTACTTCTAAAATCTATCTGTTTTACTTCTATTCAGTTGATTAATGTCATTCTATGGCACAAATCCAAATTACCCTCATCTTGACCATCCCCTGTCTTCATCAAACCTCAGAAAACAGAATGCAAGCACCTATCCAATTTGTTTATGATTAATGTGCTTTTCTGTAAAACTTAATATCTTGTGCAGAGAATGATGAAATAATTATTTTAAAATGTCCCTTTTAGGTTGTGCAAATGGAGGAGCCCAGCTGAGAGGGGAGGATCCCAAGGCCCAGTTGGCCAAAGTCATGCAGCTGTTCAAGGAAATCCAGTCTCAAACTCCTGAATCCAATCTCCACCTGCGTTATTTGCATAATGAGGTGTTGGTGGACGATGAAACCCGAAAGGCCCTGCTCCACACCCAGTATCACCCAGTGGAGAAAAATGTCAATTCTCTAAACATCAAGTGGTGATTGTGTTGCGTGATATGTTGTTGATTTTATAGATCATTTACCCATTCATGCAGTGCAAATGCTGTGTTTTTCGATTGCAGTCTTGGAATTTGGTGTATAAAAATTTGCATTGCTCTGAAATCAATTGCCTCAGTCAATGATTAGATCCACTTGAAACCTTTCGTCAAAAACCCTTAGGTACAAAATACAGCAAGAATTGGGCAGGATCCACTCCCAAAAGCGAGGAACTGGATAATGGACATGAAAATATCCAGTGAGATGGCTTCATTCAGTATTTTAAACAGTGAACATATATATGCATGAGACATTCAAAACCAGACTGCATAGCTATTACTACTCAGGCCTTACCATACCCTAATAATCACAATCCATGTACAACTTGAGAAATTAGCTATTGGGAAATGAAGTTCTTGTATGCCTCTCACAGGCTAAATTGAATTCATGATATCATGAGTCTTTGTGGTGGGGACCATTGATTACAATCATGTATAAAAGTAAAGCCTATAAAAATCAAAGAGAGTCATATCCATAACAAATGTGTGTATGGAAGTAGCACTGTCTTGAAAAGTGGTCATACAAAACGTGTTTGTCTTCCCTCCCCTCATTAAACCGTACCGATTTGACACGTTCCAGGTTACTGCATTTCATCTTCACCATCAAGCCTATGTAGCCAATTTCAGGTAGTCATACTGTCGTCTTATACTCTAAGTGGAAATGAGCACGCTGCCAATTTTTTGGTTACGGAGAGATTAAAATGTTTCCTCTGAGACACTCAATGGTGAGGACAAGAGAACGACATTTCAGCATTATCTAACAATATATCATGATGCCCATGAAATAATAATTTTAAGTCTATTTTAATTTAGTTTGACAGTGAGGAAAAGGTGAGCTCTGAATCATATTTGCTTCAGTAATGACAAGGCATGGCATTTCTTTTTTATGCTTCGTCTTCGCAGACGATCCTTGGCCTCAAAAGTCTTCTTTCCATGCATTTGACTGCGTGATCCCACAAGGTTCAGAGACGAAGGACCAAGGCACTTGATTTCAGTATCTAAACACAGAATTCAGATATTTGTATCTTCGTAGATACTACCTGGCGCTGCTATCTTATTGCACCTGTCTGACTGTGTGTGACTGTTTTCCGCTTTCGGTGTCCGACGATAACTATTAAAATAAGGGCTGTCACGATAGATCGATGCATCGATAGTTGGAGATATCGATAGTTTTTTCGACCATCGCGATGCATCGGCAAAATATTTTAAAGGGGAAATGTCCCATTGAATTGAGGCGAGTACTGTACAATACAGTCCGTAAAAAAGATGGAACCCCCCGGCCCCCCCCCCCCCCCCCCCCCCGATGCATCGATTTACTATCGATGTTTTGAAAACTGCTATCGTGACAGCCCTAATTAAAATATTAAAGTATGGTCCTGACCCCGGTGAAAAATGTTATTGGGACACACGGGTGAGAATTTCATGGAATTTACAAGTTCTACAAGGACAAGTACTTGCAAGGGTCTTGTCTTCATGTTTAACTCTTCCAGCTGGTCCCGCTGGTCCTTCGCACAGCTACGGCACTACCCTTGTAATTACTTGTAATTTGTAGAACTTATAAATTCCATGAAATGGGCCCCTGGCCGTTCAGTGGCTCCCCTCCATTACAATTCCAGGCTTCTCTAGGCTCATGCTTAAATGGAAAAAAAAGAAGTAATTTGTTCGATTCAAATTCCTGAGTAGGGTAAACCGGCAAAACCCGAACACCTGAAGGTTGAGTCGAACGCTCGCACCTCAAGGTCGAATCGAATACACATTATAGTGGTCATCTTATGGTTTGTGCGTTCGACTCGACTCAACTTTCATGTTTGGGTTTTGCCGTATATTTCAGAGATCGCAGCGAATTCAGCGACAGAAGCCTTTACGGAATATATTTATTGCTGACTAAGGCCAAGTTCATACTAGGACTGCACAATATGTTGGATGCTGCAACTGCATTCTTTATTGAAAAGTCCAATCCAGCATGTCCTGCAGCTGGACTGCAATCCTGCAATGCATCAGAAAATATGCTGTATATACAGCAGCTGGGTGCCGCATGTTGTCCGGCAAAAAATTTCGTGCTGTAGGATTGAAAAGAAACCATTTCTTTTTTTTTTCTTATGGCCACGAGACTGGTTTAACAAAATTGACCTCTTCAGACTCGAATAACATGTACGAGGTCTGGCAATAAAGTTCCAGGACTGATTTTTTTGTGATTCTGTCAATATCACAAAAATTATTTTCATTCCATGGACTGATAGACTGTTGGGCAGTGTTGTGCCAGCCCTCATCTGACTAGCATCTTGAATGAGAGTTTGGCTGGCAATGTAGCAGCTCAGTGTGTAAGGCGTCTGTCATATTCCCAGAGTGTAGCAATGCTTCATCACATTTTGTCTCAAACCGATCAATACAGCTGCAGTAATCCATGAAACGTTGCTGAAGTGTCTTGAAAAGTTCCTGGTTATGCTCCAATATATGACAGACGCCTTACACACTGAGCTGCTACATTGCCAGCCAAACTCTCATTCAAGATGCTAGTCAGATGAGGGCTGGCACAACACTGCCCAACAGTCTAATCTATCAGTCCATGGAATGAAAATAATTTTTTGTGATATTGGCAGAATCACAAAAAAATCAGTCCTGGAGCTTTATTGCCAGACCTCGTATACTTACCAAATCCTATGGCTTTTATTTTACTAGGGTCTGATTATGTCTATAGGCGCAGAAAACCGAGCTTCCTACTGTTCGTCAGAAATATTATAGCAAAGAAACTATCCCTCAAGATTTTCATCAAAGACGTCACCGAAATCTACTTTGAAGTATATGTTACGCTACGTATCCGTGTTATCAATGGCCTGAAACGACTGATACCTCCAAGGTTTTTTTTTTCCCCGCTGGTGTTCGACTCCCTCAGTTTGAACAGCGCTTACTGAGACAACTTGCTTCCAAGAAGTTCACAACCTCAACTGTATTCTCTTCTAACCAGGCACTGAAGAATAAATTCGCAATGAGGATAGGAATCGACTATAATTGTGTAGATTGCGTCATCTCCCGCCGATGTAATAGGGCGTCATGCTGGTAGGAGAGCTGGTATAGGCGTAGAACCCCTGAGACGCAGCCGAAGAGGCGAACCCTGATTGGTGAAACATGTCCTGATTGTAGATCGAAGGATGTGAAGGGGGCGGGTGATGGTTTCGTACCATGTAGCCTCCGTACCCGCCACCTCCTCCTGCACAACCACCGTTACCGCCTCCTCCTCCCCCCACGTAGTCCAAGTTCCCGCCGGTGGCGGGAGCAGGGTTGTCGAAGGTTTGATAACAGGGATTCAGCATCACTGGCGTTTTCGGGCCGGTGTCGTTCAGTCGCTTCATGTGCGCCACTGTCTGCAAATTCCTGAAAGACGACCAAGTTTTTTTTCCAAATGACATTTCGAAGCATCAGAGGTGTTCCGTGGAGTCTCTGAGAGTTTCACAATACAAACTTTACAGAGGAGCGACATGAATTCACAATATCTAATCGACGGTGGTGACTCATGGAGCGAGAGGGGGGGAGTGTACTCGAATGCTTTTACTCCTGGTCGTTTTATTTATAAAGACTTCAATCATGGAATATGATGCAAGTTTCATCGTATGGGGAATATAATGGGCTTTCATGACTTGATCATGATGAATAGTCGTTTCTTTTTCAAGGGTGAGCCCATGTCTACACCATTCCTCCATATTTCGTTCCTGCATTTCTCGAAATGGGTTCAGGTATTCGGGTGACTGAAGGCACCGAGCACTTAGCCATTAATGTAGTCCTGGCCCACACAACGAGCAATAGTATGGGAATTATGGACCAAAATACGAGTAATTTTCAGAGTCTGAATGACTGAATTGTTAGTCAATTTGTCGAGCGAGCATTTAAGCAAAAACAAGCTGTTGATCTACCTTTTTGCTTCAGTAAACAATTAAATCAGTGGTACCAGTAACTCAGTTTGCGAGATCCTATACCGCCAGGGCGATAGAAGACCATTGGTACCTTATTTGTTAAAATAAGTTAAGCAGGTATGCTCTCAGGAGCTCCTTGACTGCATTTTAGAGCATTCGGTACAGATGCAGTACTTCCCATTCGACACAACAACGTCTTGTCAACATTGAGCGAGGACTGATTTTTCAACGTAGCGACGTTGCCACAACGGTGTGAAAAAGGTGGATTCAATGTTGCCGAATGTTGCAATCGTTGAAAATACGTTCATGTGTCACGTTGTGCCAGCCTTGAATTATAAATGTCTGGGATTTATCTCTTTTTCCTGAAATTGAACTCGCGCTAAAATCGATTTTAATTAGAAAGTACTATAGGGGTTACTATCATCCCAAGGTTAATTTCCATCCTTAACTCCCTTTTCTGGATCAGAACCCGAGTGACATAGTTGAATGACAAATCCTTCTGGGCAGCAGAGGAATTACATGTCTGGCGACATCTCCAGATTTATCGCCCTCGCAGTCTGGTTAAAATGTTCTGTCGTTCTCGACTGAGATTCAAGGGAAATGCCATATAGTAAGGTAGGAAAATTCGACACGTTTCCTAGGATCCCCTGGCCAGAAGTACCTGGTGTCCCCTTCTGCCTGGTTACATTCTTAAATGGTTCTATATGGGAATTCCCCCAAATTGGTTGTGGAAAGTGATCGGATACTGTATGAGAAATACATGGGGAGTGTTCCAATGGCACCAGGGTGAGAATCGCTAAATCGGCGGCCATCTCGCGCCGATTGGTAGAACCTATTTTCTGTTGAAATAATGTGTATGGTTCCATGTTGAAACCCCATTGAGACTATGGTGAAGGCAAATGTGAAGAAAGAATTTGCACTCAATACCTTACAAACGACTTCGGTAATCTATGAGTAACGCATATATGCTGAAAATGCGGTTAATTATGAATAGCCGGCATTTCATTGCTGTTGATTCTTCGCTGAATTCTCAACTTCAACCACGTCTCAACACTTCAACCTTTTGTCAATGTTGACACTACGTAGCTGTGCCGAATGGGTTCTGACCCCTTCACAAAGTACGCAATAGCTCCTAAGACAAGTCCTCTTATTCATCAGAATCCAACGGATATATATATTTCATTTGGTTGTACTGCCTCCTGACTAATATTTACTTTATAGTACTTTCAGTACTACAGTATATCAAACTTGAAACTCAATATGAAAACTCTTAACGTTAGGTTAGTCCAATGGTGCCTCATTTGTCGAAGTCAGTCCAGTAGCTACTGTCCTAGGACGGTCTGTGTGTTCTGGATAATAATCAGTACGTTTTAGTACCTACCGCACCACAGGAGCGTAAATTACTCTGAAAAGGCACACCGCCATGCAACACAAATCCAGCATCCGACACGACCCAACACGAATCCGTATTTGTCGAAATAGTTCTAGTAGGTTTTACATCAAGTGGATATATGTTTTAGTGCTTTTTTTTTTAAAGGATAAGTGCCTCTTAGTAGTTACACTGTAAGTTCTAAGAAGCACTTGAGGTCCAAAGACCGACGTAGAGCAAAAAACTGTTCGACCTAATTTACTGCACTGGTTTACTAAAGTGGGTCAAATAGATTTAGCTTTATGTGTCAGTGTTTTTGGATCTCAAGTGCCTCTTGATTCTTTCTGTACCGTGAATTGGGGCGATGCCATCGGTACTTGGAACTGTGGGACGACCAATTCACCCCACTCTTGAATAGTCCAACGATACCTCATTTATCGAAATCGACAACGTGATTTTTCTAGCTCGGTCGCTAGGACAGGAGTAATGCGACCTCTCAAGCACGCACATCCACACTTCTTGAAGTACTGGAGAGTTACGAATGAAACTTCGTGGACCTGCAGACGTTGGCGAAATGAGAGAGTGAACTGTTTTTCGAGTCCATGCGTCGGCGCATCGGCGTTGGCGGTGACGGAAATTCCCATGAAAAGGGTCGTTATACGCTACGATTATGACTGACCTACGCTGACTTACGACTTCGTGCCTCGTGCTCGTAATGATCTATGAACCCCTTCCCATTTGTTGGTAAGCTGATCATCGGCTTACATGTAATCCAACTGCTTCCTACTTGGAGGGTTGTAAGTCTGAAAATTGGCCTAAAGGCTTAGCAAAACGATGCAGTAGATAGCTGAATGAAACTAGGGAAAACAAGTTATGTATGCTGTTTGTTTCTGACTCATTTTTTACCCAAGATCAAAACCCATCCTTTTCATTCAAGTGGAGGAAGCACTTGAATGAGATCACTTTAAAAGTTTTGGTAGGACTTGAAAATGGTGCAGTCCAAAGTCGATCCGTGGAAGGCCTTGAACTTGATCGAGCGGGCCAGATTCTCATGATCAAGTACCAGATTCAGATCCCAAATTCTGGCGAACCTGTTATACCTCGTACATGAAACTCTCCTCGGGCCAAACGTGAAAATTTATTGGAGTACAATATCAAAAACTTTAGGAATTGGTTGAAATGGACGAGACCACGACGACTCCCCCTGATATTACACTCGGCTATAACGTCTCACCACGTTTTTAAGGAAAGCTGCAACAAGTGATTTGATGGAAGAAGTTCCGTCCTCAGATTGTCAACGCAATCGAAAGATGATCGAACTCGAGGGCGTATGGTAGTGCTCTTGATATACATCCGGAGCTTTCTCCCCTCGATTCTGCCTGCATTAACGTGCAGCCTTGCTGTATTAAATATTTTATAACTATTTCCTCGCAGCATGCTATGATGGGACGGAAAGAAAGCGATACGGCCGCCCAGAGAGCTAGTCTATGTGGTCCTCACGACTGGAAACGGCTGACATTCGGGAGAGAAGTCGCTCCGAACAGTTTCACTGAGTGAGTGAGCAGATCCACTGCGGATGCCCCCGCCTCGATCCTTTCAACGTGTCGCGTGCATGCAAGAGAATCATTAGGGCTCTTACCTCATTGGGGGAGAGAATCGTTCAAGGGCGGAAGGCGTGGGGCCGTAGATGGACGAAGGTTGGGGATTCATCGATTCTCCGCCGAAACCCAGTCCCCACCTAAGTCGGAAGCGATAAAACATTTCTCGCTGTCTGCTCTGATCAGTCGATATCGAGCCCACCCGTGTCGAAAGTATAAACGCACTTGATTGAAGATGGGTGCTGGGAAGAAGGTGGAGGGGGTGCCGGATGACCGAGGGGAGTTTTGGGGGGCGTTGGCGGGGACTCCATTCTTCTGTCTCCGTTCCCACTTTCTCCTCTTCTAAAAGGTCCAGGAGGAAGGATAGATCATATTTAACCGTGGGTCACCGTGGACCGATCATGCTAATAGCATGGATATCTATTTCTCCCTGAGAGGCTAGAGCAATAATATTTTCGGTTCTAAGCACATGGAGGTTTTCATGATCCCCCCCCCCCCCCCTTTCATCCTTTAGGGAGTAAAACTGCATTGAAAGGAAGAAGAATGAAACGATCTGCAGATATAGCGAGCAAAGCTGACCGATTGGGTCGTTGATCAGGTGAAGTCCCATGCACGATTCCCGCTATGGACTTGACTGGTCGACGCCTCCGAGGCTGGTACTGCACCACCCAATGTCAAACATGGAAGAAGGGAAGAGAGAGCAATTTTGAGTGGTTTTGCTAATTTTAACGGAATGCTTTTCAAGTGTTACCCTTAAAAGACCAGGCGTTAAAAAAAAAAGAAATCCAATATGAAATGAGACATAAGAGCAAATGAAGTAGAACGAAGAAATCCGTGTAAGAGCGTTGAGCCTCACGGTAATGTCTTCCAAAGACTCATGAAAACGCGATCGGAGAGAACAGAGAACAGACTACAGTACTTCCAACTATGCGAGATAGACGCCCGATCTTGGAAGATCTTGAGACAAAAGAAGAGTTTGCGAAGGTACAACCTTAGGATCTGAGATAACCCCCCCACCGCAGATAGTGAAAATACCTTGTAGTCGGGATGGTCTTTCTTGTGCTGGCTCCTCAGCCTTTCCGCCTCCTCGATGAACGGCTGCTTCTCCGCCTCGCTCAGCACGCTAAATGCAGTAAACAAAGCTTCGAAATCCGGAATGTGTCAGGTAACACTCGAAAGAATATTGCAAGGCTTCTGAACGCGACGTCGACGTGAGATCTAGGCTCCTTCGATAAATTCTCACTGGTAGCCGTCTGTTCCCATGCCTTGCTTTCCATTGAAAATTACAAATACCGGGTGAAAAAAAAAACACGCCGCTCATCGAAATTTCGTGGCGTCTCTGAAACAGCAGCCAGAGCAACGAAGTTTCTTTCACACACACCTCAATGCGTCCTTCGAGCATCCGAAAATTTCTGACCTTTTACTTTCAGCCGTTTCAGCGCACAACTGATTTTACAAAAGAAACTGGAAATGTATTTTTGCACTCGGTCCTGGACGCTGACTGGAGAACCTGCCCCATTCACTCGGAACGACAATATTTCATCGGGTTTTTCCTCTGCACTCTCTCAGCTTAGCAGATCTCTGACTCGCCCTTACGTGTAGCAATTTGCAGATATAAATTTTGTGTCCCAGGATTTTCATCTAGAGAAATAATGCCATCTTCCACATGAACGCAGTTTCCTTCAGTTCTGGCCAGTTTTAGTCTTCCGCTCCTTCCGAGCTTTGGCCCCAGATTAGTGCGATCCACGCGCACCAACTGCTCTTTCGCCGATACTTTTTCTCGCGCAAAAATGAAGTTCGAGTTGCCTTCGCGTTTTCTTTATTGTGCTAAAACGACTGGAGAAAATGAACAAGAATTTTAGGACGATCAAAGGATACGTAGAAGTCGTAGCAAAAATTGTTTTGCATGTTATATTCTATTTCATGAACTCCAAAGAATCTCAAAGAGCGGCGCGTTTTTTTCCCTCTCCCGATATATAGGAATTCAAAATAACACTGCATGTACGTTAATCATTGGCCTTGTGAGACAGGTATTCCCCATTCGATTCGAACGGGTATTCTTTTATTATATCCGAAAGCCACACCTCTCTTAGTTCCGTCAGCGATTACGGCGATCATGAAGACGGGAACCTACGGCAGAGGATCGAACGAGGCCGCTGCACGCGCCAGGGTCCCCTCCCGTCCCCTCCCGTCCCCTCCCGTCCCCTCCCGTCCCCTCCCGTCCCCTCCCGTCGCCAGCGGTCCTCGTTCGCTTGCTGCCGTTCGGGCAGCTCGAGAAAGGGAGAATAATGGCGTTTCTGCTGTAGTCGGAGAGAATTTCTTCAGCACGAGCGGAATCGCGAGCGCCTCGTATATACAGCTTCTATGTTGGTATAAAGAAAACAGTCGCGACGATTAATTTCGTACCGAGAACATAAAAATATCCTCGGTTTGGATAGAGAGGCGAACAGTATAAACAGGCCACGAAGTGACTGAACGGGCGCGAACGGAGTCCCCGAGCTCACCTCCCCGTCCGCAGGTTGTCATCGAGACTGGGCAAGAAGACCTCCTCGCCTGCCCCCTCCAGCCCGCCTGAGCTCGCCTCGTTCGCTTCGCGAAGGATCGACTTCCTCTCCCTTTCCTCCCTTCCCGTTCGTACGAACAAACATTTTCACGTTCCGACGTAGAGAGACTTTTAAAAACTCAACGCCCCACCGTTCCCTCGGGCAGATCCGTTCCAGAAACTATCAGGCTAAATTAGGCCGAAGTGTAATAGGAACGAGCTAAAGGACGAGGTATTAAAATTTGAATAGGTACGTAGTAGTAATTTAGTCTAGTAAAATAGTAAGTAATTTGAGTAGAAAGTGAAAGTTCTTGGAAGTCCCGTTCCCTTCCCTGCCCCTCCTGCGGGACTGGACTTGACGGGAGCGAAAACGTTCGAGAGCGGGAAGGAAAGTCATCTGGCGCACATTCTTGCATCAAACTGGAGCGACCGAGAGAGAGGAGAAAGCGGAAAAAGCAAAGAAAACACGGAAAATTTACACAGGACCCATTGACCGTCCATTTACTTCTTCCTTACTCTAGAAGAGTATCGCCTCGAATGTTTGGAAATATCCGGGAGCGAGAGTCAGAATATCTCAAGGATTCACTCTCTAGTTCGGATTCTTTTTCCGGATTCTGAGTGCTAAAAGCGGCCTGGGTCCGTGAAATTGGCAACCAATTTCATCGTGGCCTCACTCCCTCTGCATTCGTTCTGCTCTTTTCCCGAGTGTCTCATGACCGAGACCGGATATTCCGGATATCGGTACCGGAGGTGTCCTGCGCTATCTGGTCAGAAAATTCCCCAGAAAATTCTCGCGAGAAACGATTTGCGGTCTGTGACTCTTGACGTGAGAGGCCGTACCTGGGCTAATACTTGAGACTATCTCGAGTATCTGTCGGTTTTCGATCTCCCGGAACGGCGTCCTAGGCTTGTAAATTGTCCCAGGCCTGTTCCAAAGGCCAAGGATCTATTTCGTGGAATTTACAAGTTCTACAAGTTACTAGTAATTACAAGGGTCGTGTCGTAGCAGTACGAAAGGGCCAGCGGGACCAGCTGGAAGAGTTAAACAAGGAGACACGACCTTTGCGAGTACTTGTAACTCGCACAACGTGTAAATTCCACGAAACAGGCCCAGGGCCTGTTCCAAGCACCACTTCCCACAACACGACGTTTACATCGGGGTCGGGTAGAGCGATCTCCCCGAAGCTCGCCGAACCGTCTCGTCGGACGCGTCGGCATGCAGTAGGCCTAAAGGAGGTCGAAGGAGATCGGGTCTACCGCCAGAGTTTCCCGAGGGTCTTGGAGAGTTCGGCGTTGTGGAGCTGTGGATGTTGCGTGGAGAGACGGCGGCGCGCGGCCTGGGCCCACACCATGAATGCATTCATTGGCCTCTTCACGTGCAGCTTCTTCTTGCCCGATCCCGTCCCTCCGCCTCCCGATCCCCTCACCGTCATTCCCCTCAGGCTCCACTCGTATTCTAACGCAAAGGCAAAAATCATCGTCTCGTTTGCGAGGACACAGCCGATCTCGACAGATCCCTCCACGCTCCCACGAATCCGATCGTGGGATTTTACATCCCGCCGATCGGCACACGAGGGGCGGAGGGAAGCGACCGTCCACCTCTGATTTTTCTCAGAGATTCATCTCGGAGACAAACACAAATATCGATTAAACGAGACCCCCGCATCTTGGTCACATCACGACTCCAGGCTGAGGCAAGAGTAGATCAGTGTCGCGATTTCGGGAGCACAGTCATTTTCAGTAGTCCTATCCCTGATAATCGCCATTGATGATAGCGTTCGTATCTTTAAATCTGTGAGCTGGCACGCTCGAGGAAGTGATTTTAAGAAGAAACTTTTGCTCTCTGTTCCTTCCTTGGAACGGTTACAATTCTCTCATACAAGTCTCGTACGGAAGTTATCTTGATTTTTTTCAATTTCTCACATGATTTGCCCCAGTAGTATGAAGTTGATTTAGCATTTATAGGCTTCGACAGATATTCATCAATGTCAGCTTGTCCCATTGGATGAACCTGTTATTGGTACTGTCACTCCAATAATTAATATTATTTCATTTTAATGTTGTTTTCAATACGATTAGATACGAATCATGAAGTATTTGAATAGGCACTTCCAGATAGATTAGCTAATATCTATTAGATTCAGCGGCATCGTTTTTTAAATTTTATTTCTAAACCTGTCTGGTCCTTGCTCGGACGGTAGACGATTGCCTGATTTCTGAGCTAGAATAAACCCACCCACTTCCGACTTCTCGGTCGGCATGCTGCTCGATGGCCGAGCAGATGGTCACCTTCCGGCATTTCCTTCCCCACCTTCGCACCACCTTCGCACCACCTGCGCGATGGACGCTGCCGGAGACCGTCCGACCCTATCGGCGATTTCTGCAGCAAGCCGCTGCTCGACGTCGTGCCGGTTGGGAGCAGGGGTGCAGGGGTCGAAGGGATGGACCGTGAAAGAGTACTTCGACCCGTGTCTCCACCGATCCAGAAGCATCGTCGCTTGCAAGGCGGCATGCTTTGGAGCAGAGTTTTGCAAGGCGGCATGCTTTGGGGCAGAGTTTTGCAAGACGGCATGCTTTGGATCTGATTTTTGCACTTCCGGCCTCTCGAAGGCCAAACGCTGCATCCGACCCACGCCTTCCGGAAGCGCGGTACCGACGAACACCCGGTCGAGAAAGATCATCGGTGCGAAATGCATCTCCGGGACGAAAGCGTGAGAAAAAGTAGGGACGAGACGAAAAGGCAGACCTTTGAGGAGCCTGGCGACCGCATCGTCCAATTCCTTGGGATGTTCCCCTTCCGCACTCCCGACGCCGTCCATCGCGGTGTCGGTCTCGATTCACTCTAGAGGGCGAGGAACATTACGGTGGGAGGGAGGGGGATAGGCGGTGGAGTCCGCTTCTATATGAGGATCCCGTGGAGACAGACTCAAAGAAGATTTTCTTCCTTCTTCTCAATGGGTTTCCTTGTCTTCTTTATGCGTCTCTCTCTCTCTCTCTCTCTCTTCGGGCTCCGTCTCTCTCTCTTTCTTTTCTTGCGTCGGGAATGCATGATGGCGTCGCACTTCTCTTGCTTTTTTATCATCTGGTATCTTCGCTTTCGCCCGATGTTCTCCGGGTTTTCGCTCCGAGCTTCGGAAATCTTCCGCAGAATTCCCTCCGACGTCGACCGAGGCCCCTCGAATCGAGTGGGAAGTGACCGACGGACGATCCTCGATCGATCCTCGGTCGATCCTCAGACGTCGTCGATCCTTCTTCGTCGCTTGCACGATATGCAAATTACTGGAAACGACCGACCTGACAACTTTCAACTCATAAATGTCTTATAATAATAGCTTAATAGATGAACTAAATTCGGTCGGTCGTGACTCGAGAACTAAAATTGATAGAAACGTAAAAATAAGCTCTCCTCTAAATATTTGCAAAATGAGAAGTGACCGCGGGAGACTTTCCTTTCGGCCGCTACGATGAGTTCATTCCCAGATGACGATTGCTTTCGCGTCGATTCGCGTCGATTCGCGTCGATTCGCGTCTCCTTTTTCAAGGGGGAAAAAGTTCGCGAACGTTTCTTTGTTTTTCGAGGAAAATGTTGCGAGCTCCGTCGTGATTCTCGTGGTACCGTCTCTTGATTTTCGAACCGAGCCGTGTCGAAGTCCGCCGATCCAGAAAAAGGAAAACTGCGAGAAAGAAAAGAAAATTTAAGAGGCGAGGCCCCGTGGCGCAATGGTAGCGCGTCTGACTCCAGATCAGAAGGTTGCGTGTTCGACTCACGTCGGGGTCAACTTTTTTTTTCCCCACAAAACTGTAACCATACGAGTTGCATGCCTAAAGTGTAAGCAAGAGCCGCAAGATGTTTTCCTTGCAAATTCGGATTTCTAAAAGGAATGGAAGCTTATGCCATGATCTCGGGCTCTAAAGTCACGAGGAATCGATTTCGCTAAACTGGTTTTGGGGAACTGGATTTTTGCGATGTTTTCGGTGTACTGAACATGAAAAGTGGGGTGAAAGAGGAACGACTGGGTTTACAGTGGTCGTCAAAATTAACGTACCAAGGTTTTCTCGAAGGACAGGAAACCTACGCGGCTCAAACATTTTGCATCGGACAGCTGCCCGTGAGTGCCGATCCGCCTAAAAGAATTGGTGACTCTCGTTCGTTACGTCCCAGTTACGCAGCTGTTTTTCGTTGGCGTGAGGAAAAATGCAATTTTCGATGAAGAATCGTTACGAGATTGATTTCATGCCCCTCGTCCCTGGGGTCCGAAGCTCTCTTCTGCGCCATCGCAAAGTGCAAAAAGATCTCAAAGCCAGCGAAGGCCGGTCGGCTTAAAATACATCGAGAGACGGGAACGGTGGAGGGAAAAGAGTGATCGCTCGGACTGTGAGACACCTGGGTCAGGTGCGTGCTTGGGGATGCCTCTACGCTGGAGGGATCGGGAGCATCTGCAACTTCAACCAGAACCTGGATGCACGTCTGCTGAAGACCATTTATGAGCGTGACCTCTTGCCTTCTGCAGCTACTCTGTTTCCCGATTCGACGGAGACTTGGGTGCTGCAGGACGACGATCGTCCGAAGCAGGCGACCGACCCCATTGAGAATGCGTGGGCTCTCTCGAAGGTGAAAGCGGCGCATCGGCGCCCCAGAACGATCAGGACTTTAAGAGCAGTAATTAAGGAGGAGTGGGAAAATCTGGGTGAAGAATTCGCCAAAAAAATTGGCAGACTCGATGCCGGGCCGATCACGTGCTGTAGTCGAAAAGCGCAGGACGATTAAACTCTGTATGGAGATCGGGGCTCTGTATGTATTAAATACTTTCTGTTGATATAAAAAGTTTTTATACAGTACGGTAGGTGAGCAAGTTTGCCACGAGCAACTTCTACGGGATGGACACAAAAGGCTCAACTGGTTTTAAAGTTCTTATTCGAAAGTAAACAGAGCGGGAGAATAATGTACATTCTTATGGTAAATTCCTTTACAACGAAGCGCGAGAGAACAGTGCCAATAATTTCGCTATTCGTTTTAAGCGGGACTTGATGTATATAGGGTGGTTAAAAATAAAAAACGCCCTACCGTTTTCTATGGGAAAAACACAGTTTCATAAATGCAGCAAAAAAAAAATTAAATTGAAGTACTTGCCAGCTTTTTTCCAGCCCCCCTGCCCATGTCGTGCAATGCCCATTTAGAGGTGATTTAATGGTGCTTAGGTCATTCCACCTCGAGTGGGGTCATTACCTGTGCTCGACCGTCTCAGAATTCAATAAACTTTTCAACAGCGCCCTCTATCGGGATACAGCGCCATCTTGCGAATGCGAAAAAAGCCTCTTAGACTCATGAACCTTTCTATCAAGTATCAGCTGGATCCAACTGTCCCTTGAAAAGTTAAAGTTGAAAAGTTTATCGAGTTCTGAGACGGTCGAGCGCAGGTAATGACCTCACTTGAGGCGGAATGATCCACCTCTAAGCACCTTAACTTCTAAGCACCTTTAATTAACCTCTAAATGGACATTGCACGACTTGGGCAGGGGTGCTGATAAAAAGCGGGCAAGTATTTCAACACTTTGTAACTGTCAAATGTCGACCGCGTTTCCAATGTAATTTTTTTGCTGCATTTATGAAACTGTGTTTCTCCAATAGATAACGGTAGAGCGTTTTTTTTTAACCACCCTATATATATACAGGGTGTCCCAAATGTCCCTATCTATTTGTTGAAATAGGTTGAATTTTAAATAAATGGCTCGATGATATAATTACACGTTTATTTCTATGCAATATTCAAACATTAGATTACTGTCCGAACTATTTGTAGCTTTTCATTTTTTAAATTTCAGATCCACATAATTGATGCCGAATGTGCAGTCACGTGTAACGGTAGTAATTTGTCACATCAGAGGAATGAAATGTTGTGAAGACAAATTCACAAGAAAATTTCAGAAGCCTACAGACAAATCAATTCGTGAATTCGATATGCTTCAACAGTTTCAGGAACCCCAACATCTTGCAGATGGTATTCTCGACTTTCAGCAGGATGGAGCACCATGTCATTAAGCCAGAATTAACCATTAATTAATTAATAAACCAGACATTCCTCAACAGCCGATTTCCAAATCGTTGGATTGGACGTGGGGGAAACAGGCCTTTGACCCCATTGGATTTCTTTGCCTAGGGTTTCATTAAACCAGAGGTTCATCGCAGAAAAATTCGAGATTTACCAGATCTGCGAGATCGCATTGAGCAGGCCGTTCAGAAAATAAACCTCGAAATGTTCGCAAATGTGTTCCGCAATGCAGCAGACCGATTTGAGATTTGCAGAGATACTGATTTGCACGTGGAAACTACTGATTAAAGATTATTGCAGTGTATTTTTATTTCGATCTGTAATAATACTTGTATTTTGTATGGAACTACATGTGTCATTGAACCATTTGTTTGAAATTCAACCTATTTCAACAAAATAGATAGGGACTTTTGGGACACACTGTATATATGTATTCGTCCTACGATTATATAGCCAGGAATATAAACTGAAGAGAATTTCCATATCCGATTTCGTTATGGCAGGGGTTTTACATTTTCTTTAGGCGTTTTCGTGATATTTCTGAACGCAATTACGATCAGTCCATTCCATTCTTAACCCATACGCTGACCGTTTTTTCACCTCAACAGTTGCCGCGAATGACCATTTAATTTGCGTAAATTTTCACCAATGCCTACTCACGCAAACAATCGCATCCAGTGGTCATCCGGGAAATTCCTTTCATGTGAATGCACTTGGTTCCACTCATAATTGCATGTAAACATGTCTGGCAGACGGGCCAGGCCGAGCAAGGCCACGTATACCGAGCCCGTCTCTCAGACGGATGAGTCAGCAAACGGTTAAAATGCCCGATTCGCAGCTTAAACTCCATAGCTCTAGCCTGCTCAGAAGAGTCCACGATCCACTGCTTTCCTCCTCTGGATTCAACACGGTACTTTGAGTGGGGGGGGGGCGTGTACAGCACTCTACGATAACTGTATTACACAATGCCTAATTCATTTGGTATGTGTAAAGTCATGCACTCTACCCTTGCCTATTCCCGTGGACTTCTGTATTTATATTTAACTTCAGCAGTTAATTATTCCTTGCGTCATACATTGCAATCAAAACATTATAATTCAACGCCTTCCTCACATCTCTTCATAAATTGCATAATAAAAGAGGAAAGAAGGGTGGAAACACTTTTGCTAAATCGGGAAGGCGGGTACTTAATCGCATTTGAAGGGTGCAGGGAACATGAGTACCATCTAGTGGGGACTCTTGGTACTGCATCTGGGCCACGCTATGGGGGAAGGGTGCCAGTTACATTACGTGAAGAGAGCTGATGACTTCCCACCTCGCACTTGGTAGAGGGCAATCCACTGCACGTCCCACTTGCCTCCGCGTTACTGCCTCCGCCAGAAATCCACCAGTACGAGAATGACGGACCTTAGTGTGAACAGTTTGACAAGTATGAACAAAAATGTATTTGGATTACGGTGTTTCGTTGCGTGCAATAGGCTCTCCGACGCTGGATTTGCTCTGGAAATGGACAAAAAAATTTCTGATGGAAAGTTCTGCATTTTAATTTTTTCAATCGTCCGGTTCGATTAGGAGGGCCCATTGAGAACGGGCGAATCCTGAGAATCCGATGAATGGACGGAAGGCACACGTCGTAGTACTATGGCGTGTGAGTCAGTCTTGGGGGGGGGGGGGGGTATTTCCCGAAGCGTTTTCATTCATGAAAGGGGGACATTCATCGAACACAATCGCCTCGTCTCGCCCGATCTTCCTCCAAAACGGAGTCCCTT